GGATGGGGTGTTGTAATGAAATGAAACTCAATGAAGATATTCCCGTGACAATTTTCCTATAATACTGATATATTGAATTTATAAATTTCTTTTATGTCTCGTCAGTCAAAAATACTTATGTGTATTCACTTTTCACCTTTATTGACCATTGCAACGAACCCGTACGTTCCGGGGAAAATGTATCAACCAATTACAAAACAAATGTACATACATAAAAACTAGAAACTTAAAACAATTATCAAAAGTAGAGGAATCTCATTGTATCAGAATTATTTAAAACTTAAATATGAATACAAAAGAATGGTTTTGTAGAATTACATCAACAATACTTCTAGGAAACAAATGTGAGATGCATTTTAGTATTTATTCTAGATGGAAACAATATTATATAATATTTAGTTACAGCGACCTAGATCACCTGAATAATATTTAGCTAACAAACTGACTGGTTACTAAAAAATTATATTTTATATCTAAACGATGTTGCTCGTTTGATTTATATTTGCTTTTTAAATATTTGTTATTGGTATGCCATTAAAAAAGAAATACCTAAAACAAAAGCCATTCCGTAGAATAAAAATAGGATAATAAATATTGGTGAACATTTGAAAAGACCAAAATTTAGATTTAATTTATCACATTTTATTGAATTTTCATTTATCGGTAAGTTTTAAACACAATAAATAAACAAGTAATTAATCAAAACAATTAAATAAACAAAACAAATAACCAAAAAATAAAAAAAAGTAACCTCCCATCCTTATTTTTTTTTATGTAATTCAAAGCAATATATATATAAATTTTAGAAATAATTTCAACAAATCTTTTGGTGTTAGATAAAAATCTATAAAAATCGTTATTCTACTATTAAAACATCAAACATGTAACTTATCTTTTATTTTTGTGTTAATGCAATAATAAGCAGTTATGTTTAATGTTATTATGTAGTTTTCATCATCGATTTTACGTCAAACAGAAAATTTATCACATAACATCAAACAAAACTATACATCACAGCACAAAAGGAGCATCGCAGACTCCGACCTCTTTGACAATTTTACAGTAGTTTAGTTAGCATTTCTGAACTATTATTTGGCAAAATTGAGCATTAAATATTTGAAATAAATTCCTTGATTTCTCACGGAAATGTAACAATATATCTGATTTGTATAAATCAATCCTTTCAACAATCTGTCTTAGAAAGTCTGTTTCTTTTTTCCACTTTGTTTAGTTTTGCTATGATTTACAGTCCATCTTATATAGGATAAGATAAAAGGATATACAACACATGAACAATTCTAAATTGTTTCTAATCGTGGGAATTTGGGAAAATAAATGTATTTACGACCTGCTAAATCTAAGAAAAATGCAACCAGAAAAATATTTATTTTGATATATTCATGTATCAAGGTGATGCGACCTATTTTCAATTTTGGAACAGAAAGAAACAATAATTTATTTCGAAAGTGATAAATTATTTAGCTGCAATGAGTTGTTATTTCGATTGTGATAAATTATTTAGTCCACATATTCAAGTAAATAATGCATACTTGATAGTACATTCATTTCGTATTTATTTTATACTTAACTTTTTAAAAAATTTTATTTATGTTATTCAATATATTATTAATTATTGTTTGGGACTTACAACTTGCTTGCTTTAATGAATCACAATAAAAATCGTATACATTTAAAAAATGTAATGTCTGGAATATGTGCGAAATGTTAAATGAATATTGATTATTGCACCATCTTTTATCGTTTTTCTAAGACGTAAATGGTTTCATTTCTACTTTTTCTTTCACTGACAGAAATATAAATTATGGCTTTATATCATTGATTTGTTTGGTATTATTTTAGGAGACGAGTTATTTGTTTCTCATTCTCTTTACTTAAAACAAACAAAAATCAATGAAAAGCAAATCTAAATGTATGAAAAGATAATTACTACCGTCTACACATTTGACCGGCCATTGAATGACCAAATACCGAAAAGAACACAATTGAGCAGACGACTCAAACGTTCGTTATTATTTGGTCCAATCGTTTGGTTATCAACTGTTTTTTTTTATATATGGAACATTTAGTGTTTATCTTACTAGTGCTTGTTCAATAATAATCAATAATACATTAACCTACAAATTAAACAACATTTCTTTTTATCTTTGAATAATTTGAAAATCCAATATTAATACCCATTAGCCTACTTTCTGTTCTTTTTACAATTTCACACGGAAAAGGCGAGGGAATAAAATGACAATGCATGTTTAACGAAAACGAGATGAAATACTAATGAATACGACATATATAGGACGAAATCAGGCACATGTACAGTCTAAACAATTAATCTAATTAGCAAGTTTAAAATCATGAACGTTGTTATTTATATTTCCAAAGGCATATTTTTTAGAGTAACGTTACGTAGCGTGAACGGAAAAGACCTTATCTGTAAACTGTATCTTTTTGTTTTGATTTATTAAATAATGACCTTCTGTCAATTTACTTAATTCAATCTTGAAGATATGTTTTAAACTTTGCATACAACTTTTGTCATTGTCATGCTTGAGTAGTTTTAATTTACTATAATGGAACATTGCTAATCTGCAGCTTTATTTGGTTCATGTTATTGTTTTTCGTGATTCAACTATGCATTTTGTTGGAATCTGTTTACATTTAAGGTGTTTACAATACACTGCAATAATATTGAAACTTTAATATTTTCAATAACATAAATGAGTAAATGGGGTTTTAGTAGAAGTAGTATTTTTAAATTGATAAATAGAAATTATTCAAATTATAATTTGTTTTCTTCGTTTGAAAATTAATCAAACACTATAGTGCAGTTATTAAAAAATCTTATTTTTATCTGAATAGATACAACTTCACTTAATTAAAAATCTTTTAATTCACTAACATTAGTTCTAAAACAAAAAAAATATGAGGCTAAAATAAGACATCAAGAGAATAATAATTCAAGCATCAAATTCTCTTTGAGGTTTATATTTAAAAGTGATCAAGCTAGCGTTGTAATGGACTTTTTTAACTTCATTGCCTAGAGAGTTCTTTATTCAGGACATAAATCACTTTTGACAAGTAGCTCGTATTATAATATTTAGGTACGACGATTACAAAAGCATTACGCTTTGCACAGCAAGAAACTCCACTATAAATGAGATGTTGAGTACATACTGGAAAATTCTCACTATCGCCACCTTTTTAAATTCATTAAATTACCGAAAAATCATGTGGAGTAAAGTGTTTAGAATTTTATCAAATTTGAACAGACATGGAGCGACCTTTTTAAAGACACTGACTTACAGATACATGCACAGGAAATCAATGTGATATGGTAAAATTTTAAAATTTGCTATGTCAAGGTTTTAGCAATTGTAACTTATTCAATCCATCAGAAAATACGACATACAATTTTAAAAAGAAATCTTATCTTCAATATATAACGTGTTTGGGATTTAAAAAAAAAGTTTGATATTTTTATTTATTAAAAAAACCGCAGGTATAAAGGTACACTTACACTTTCAAATATATTTTATTTACAAAATAAGTTTTTGTGTAATTTTACACTGTTATTCCTACATTTGGTCATTGATAATTTACTTGTGAAATTGTACACCGTTGTCGGACAGTCCAATGTCAATTTCCTTGTATATTTCTTATTTTCATCCATCAGTGGTCTTAAAGGCTTTAGGTGTCATCAGAGACATATGTCTCTGGTGTCATATACAGTTAAATATTCAATTATGTCCATATAGTATGACAAGGCGGAACGGATTTACTACTTCTGATCTCATAAAGATATTGGGAGTATTTTTACTTTTGAAAATGCTTTGAAGCTAAAATATTCCTCATGATTTTCGAATTTAGCTTGTAAATTTCCTCTAATGACAATTCGATTGCATTAGTAATACTGAACATATTTTATTATAAATTCTTTTTTATTGGTCATTAGTTGTTACGAGAAAATTTATTATCTTGTGTGCACGTGTCTACATAATAAGAAGCAAAATCAACACTATATCGTAGTTTTCTTATGAAAAACAGAATCTTTATATTTATTCTATATTTCATCTCATTTAGAACACATGCGATTAAAACGTAAGGTTTTATTCAAACGATAAGTATTTTAGATGTGTAAAAATCTAAATCTGGACAGATATATTTTTGGTTGGTAATATTCGTTACAGACACGAGTATTTTTGTAAACAATCCCCGATGAAGTCGGCCATTAACAAACTTCGTAATGAGAACAAAACACATTTTGTACGATAATCGGGGTTCTAATAAAACAATTTTATGAAATTTGTGTATGTATTATTTCACCAGTTTGTTAAAAAGTTCAACAATACAGCATTTTATATCAAACGAAACACTTTCAGAATATAATTGTGGACAAGTAAGACTTGAATGGCCAAAGCCATACCAGATTCATCTCGAGAATTTTTATATTATTAAAGATGCATTACAAAAATCCATCCCCAAATTTTGTTTTAAACCAATATTAAAATTTGTATTTGCTATTTTAGAAGTGTTACTTATTCTAAGACCTAGAATCAAAACATCAATTATTTAGTTTATTTGAATTTATTATGTTTTATATATATTTTTTTACTTTGTATATAAATGAGGGCAAGTTATATCTTTCTGTCGAACTGTTAAAAAAATAATTACAAAATTGAAAGCAATTTTATATGGGCATGTTAGGTAGGAAAACAATTTTAAAATAAAGTAATAGTAAGTTATATTCAATAAAATATCAAATCTGTATAACAATTATTTAATATCATTTAACTGAAATAAATGTACACTTAATAAAACTGCAGAATTCAAAAAATTACATATTGTACACTTTGTAATTGTTTTAGATGGAAGTTTTCAAATCATGAGTACAACAACATGTCTATTTTTCACTACCCCAGCTGACAGGAAGTCACAAAACAACTGTTGGGTTGAAATATAAATGACTAAATAAGAAACACCCTTACCTTGTGCATACTGCATTCGTCTCATCCATGGATAAATTTGTGGAGATCCTCCGTAGCTCTGGTCAGCTGGTCTGGGTGAGTGTGGTGTCTGAGATTGTTGAGGAAGGGGTGATATCGGGGGTGGTTGTTGCGATGGTGGCGATCTATTTCTGTCCACGTTTGTCAGTTGACCGTTTGGGTAGTACGAACTATTACTATTTGAAGATGTTCTTATGTTGCACGACCGGTCATTTGATGAATGCATGTGATGAACATTCTGTATATTTGGAGTCCCTCCATGGATACTATGGGGTGACGAACACGGGCTAGAATGCGGCATATGACTCAATCGCTGTGTAGCATAATAGTCCACACTGTGATCTTCTGATCGTTCGTCTTTTGCAGAAAACGGGTATCTGGATCCGTGGAAACTGGGGTATATTCCTCCGGAATGTTGAAATGTTCCATTTCTGTGAAAATTTCCTTCGGCACAACTTTCCAATCCAACTGTCTGTCCGTAACATGTAGACAGTGAATTGACGAAGTAGGAACTCATTTGGTATAATAGTGTTTTATTTTCAGATCGTAAAACTGTCTAATGCGGTCAGGGTCGGACGAGGATGAATTATGTCAATTTCTTCGTTTATGGGATGCCTCTTTGACTTTAACTGCAGTCGCCACTGAAATGAAGCCATTTTGATCACGTGAGTTAAAATATCCAATAGTAAATCAATTTTAAATGCAGGTTTATGGATTCACATGTCAACATAAGAGCGATAAATTTTAATCAAGGTTTTCAAAATTTAACGTAACCCATTAAATTAATTAATTATAACAAATTTATACTTTACCTGTCCTTGAACAGTTAGACCGTGTCCCTTGTTTTTATAGTTTGCACATCCCGACATTATTTAACAAGTGTACACTATCAGTCTTTACCGTGTAAATAAAACTTGATCTGTCGATCTTTCAACCCACGTGGGCATAAACTTACACTTCGTATGGGTCACTGATTACGACATATTACCCAATGAAAACGATCTTCGTACCATTTTTACAAAAACCGACAAAAATCTACCAAAAACTAAATCTAAGAATATATTAATGTGTGCATAATCTGCGCTCTGTTTAATATTTCTAGCTTACAAATTTACGTCGAGGAAAAGTCATTTACAACTAACATTAGCCCACTTATAAAAAGACACATTTCCAACCAGTTTACTCGTGTAAAATGTTTTTATGATGCCGATGATAAATTATTGCGAGTCAACTAGCTGAAGTATGATAAAAGAAGCTGTTCCTTGGACGACTCTACTAAGTATGTATATTCATAGTTAATGCGATTTTGACGACCATATTATAATATTTTGATGTTCTCAAGATATGCCCATTCATACCTTTTCACAACTTACAACTGAAAATCTTAAGTATACAATAATCTTTTTAAACAGAAAAGTTGTTTCGGTCAGTTGCCTCTAAAATGAGAGAAATAAATCAACTCTTAAGTGGAGAAATGTATGTATACACTTGAAAGAAATTACCGCTACATTGATTTACAAACACAAGAAAAAGGCATGTCTAGCTATATATCTAGTTGTATAGTTAAAAAGAATGTTTTTTGTCATCTTTGATAAAGGTGTGTAGAAAAAAGCGACAAAATTTATGTTTTCTATATATATATATCGTCATTTGACACCTAGATTTGTAATTGAGTTTAAATCGTTTGAATTTATTTTGAAATGTTTGCATATATATATATATATATATATCCAAAAATGATACAAATGAAATCAAAAACGTATAACTTTCCCTTCGTTATACACAATACATTATCCCAACGCATTCCCCTTACATACTCTTTTAAAATCTTTTTGTATATCCTATTCTACAAAATCTCATATTGAAACAATATAGCGTATTTTAAAATCCAGTTTCTTTCAAATCTACGATTATTTACAATTTTCCACAATGTTACACATTTTAGTCACCTTTGAAAAAAAGTCATACGTTTATCAAAGTAAAATTCTTATTTATAGCCCATTGTTTGCTTTTGTCCTTCTTATATTTTTATCAAATGATTGCAAAATGTGTTTGAACAAATCAGACTTTGGAGAAATGAACATTTATTATCCATCGATCTGGAACAATTTACTCGGCCAAACGATTTTCAATGGATAACACATTTGAAAAGGTCTTAGTATATACATTACGACGTTTTTAAGATCCATTAAACATTCATCATTTTCCAATCTCTGTTAATATACAAAGTTCTTTTAAATTCCTCCTTCTGTACAAATTTAACTTGTAAGTTGAAAATAATTTGTGATTTTTATAACCACGACATGATCATAAGAATATTTTGTCACTTATTTTCTTTTTAAATTTTCCGTCTTTACTTTTAAGTTTTTGGTCATTCTTTTCACCTTTTACATATTGCATTAATTTTGCAGCAATAAATACCTAAAGACATCATTTTATTTTATTTTAGGTTTGATGCTCATAAAGATTTTATGCATTCTGAGTTTTTAGTGTTGGTATAGTGGATCACACCTGATCGGTATTCTACAGAACACGTCCAAAGAAAGCATGTTTTTTTCTTCTTCATATGTTTATATTATCCAGTATATTTTCTTTTACTTTTCAGTTTTCGACATACCTATCCTCGGACACGAATTTTATCTTTAAATATACCAATTAGAAAATATCTATACCAAATAAAAAATTACAGGAATTATAGACAACTGAACACAATAAGGTATGGGTTGCTCATTGTCGAAGGATGGCCATACGGTGACCAATAGTTGCTTTAATCTGCGTCATTTGGTCTCTAGTGTCTCATTTGCAACCATACTGCATCTTCTTGTTTCTAAACTAACACACACACACACACACACACACACACACACACAATATGTATCTCTTTTTTTCTCTGCATTTTTAATATGCCCTGACAGTTATGCTTTAGTCAGACATTTTTGAAACCCTTTGTTGTTAAATTATAAATGCTATATCATCAACAAATTTAATCTTTTCGATACAGTGGAATTGTATTTCCAACACTACCTTGTAAATGCTTAGGAAATCAAACAAACTAAAAACTACAATTATGACGTAGTTTGCCTAAAGTTTCAAAGGTATGAATTTTTCCAAATGACGCATTGACCTAGTGAATACTATAGTCCTAAGATTCACCATGCAATGAATTAGATTGCACGGTATCCTTGTCACCAAGAAACAAATAAAATTCTTCACATAACAATCAACATTAAAATGCTACATCATTCATTTAAAACTTATGATAGATTTCTGCTTCTTTTGTAAAAGAGAGGCGAAAGATACCAAAGGGACATTCAAACTCATATGTCGAAAACAAACTGACAATGCCATGACAAAAAAATGAAAAATGACAAAGACAAACAACAGTACACAAAAAACAACACAGAAAACTAAAGACTGAGCAACACGAACCCAACCAAAAATCGAGGTGATCTCAGGTGATCTGGCAGGGTAAGCAGATCCTGCTCCAAATGTGACACTTGTTTAATAGAAAGAGTATAAACATCCAATTAAGGAGACAATAAAGAACAATAAAGAACATTAAGTCTGAACGAAAAACTAACGATGTTGGCGGGATGTGGAGCAGGATCTGCTTACCCGTCTTTTTGTAAATGAAAAGAGATATTTCAATGAATGTTATTTTCTTTCTTTTTTCAAGTAATTGGTTGTATACTTTTGATACTTTAACAAAAAAAAAAAAAGGACAAGATTAAAACTTCTATGAATCGTCAAGTTTTTCCACAATCCTTCCTTATGGGAAACCGATTAAGATACGACTAGAGACCAGCAAAGGTTTTTAAAATTATTCTTGCAGAAGAGCATGCGCAAATTTGCTTAGTTACTTGATGTTGGAGGAGCTTCATATTCAAAAATATCCCCACGACGAAACAAGAATACGAAAAGAGATACTTATATTTTGACCCTGAAACAAACCATGTCTAAATTAATTGTTGATAATCCAAATCAAACTTTGGCAATTCAGCTAAACAAACCAAATAAAACTATGGTAATGCAGCTAAACAATTCAAATAAACCTATGGTAATGCAGCTAAACAATCCAAATAAAACTATGGTAATGCAGCTAAACAAACAAAATAAAAATATGGCAATGCAGCTAAACAAACCAAATCAAACTATGCTTATGCAGCTAAACAAACCAAAGAAACTATCAGATTCTATTTTCAAATCGAAAGCATCTCCATTTTGCGCATGTTGATCTTAGTAGATGGATGTTAGGATACATATCTCAGTAGAGCACAATTCGTATGTTTCACATATCGATTGTTCGATCAATCGACATAAGAAAAATCTTTAAGTTTTGAATTTATTCTCACTTTGTATCAACATTTAATATCATACTAGTTTATCGCAACCTCTCATTGCGGTTATCATTACATAATCACTTCAAAGTCCCTACTGTATTACAACCGTTTAATCTTTCCAAGACAATTGCACATAGTACAAATGATGTTTTTTTTTCTGCATGATACATTATTTGTTCCAATGACACCGTATTAATAAAACTGTGTTTATCAACATTAAAAATCTGTTCGAATCAATAGAAAGTTTATTTAATGCACTGTTTTATGGTCACACTTTCATAAACCTTACTATCCCTGGGGTTCATTTATTAATTGTTCAATTGCGATAGATTTATTTATATAATGTATTAGAAAACAATACATCTGTATTGATAATAATATTGTTTTTCAAACACTGAGGGATCACGTAGCAACTAAAGCTGCATGGGATCACTATCTGAGGACTGCTCGATTATTACAATAATAAGTTTTCAATTGCTGATGGGAATACATCAATTGTATATTTAATTTTTAACTCTGTTAAAATACATATGTAACAAAAGATTAAACAATCTTTACTTTGGACGTTACAAAACAATGGGGAAAAGAATCAGTACTAATTACATGGAGAAGGGGAGATGTAATATTTTCGAACTAAAACTTACATTACATGGGTAAATAAACCAGGAATGACGTATATAAATGCATGATTCTAACCAAATATGGTAGTGATAATAGGTGCTCCGAAAAGATAAAACAGACAAGTATGGATACGTGTGTATTTGAATTTTGTATGCGAACACCGACTTTAAATTATGGTGAACAGACAACCACATTCATGATTGAATAGCTATATAGTCCGTACTTTACACAGGAAAAGCATTGAAGAATATTTTTTTTAAAATCTACCGTACTGAAAACAATCGAGATGAATTAAACTGTTAAAAGTCAGTTAACAAAATATTTTGATCCATTTTTTAATCATATATCTTAGGTCAATTAACTCTAAATAACTTTTTCTCGTTTAATAAAAAAAAAAAAACAACAAATACAAACTAGTGTACACAAGAAAATATACACAAAACAACAACCGAAAAAAAAAAGATCTTTTTGTCAAAATTAAATTGTGATGCAAAGCTAAGCAATAAATGGTATTAACATGTAAAATTAGCTCGTCAGTGTATCTGTGAATGTCCATTTAAAATGTTACAGTGTTTAAACCACAGTTATAATTGAAAACCAACGACATGTATCGTTATTGAAGCTCAGTTTACACTTGGATATCACAATAAGCATAAACTAGCAATTTTCTGGCCGATAAA